TACCTACCTGAGCCTCATCGTGATCCAGTGATGTGCACGAAAGTCTCGGCTCTCTGGGGACTCTCCCTCCTCATTGGCTCCCGCTGTTGTCAATCCCAGCCAGTGAGCCAATGAGGAAAAAGAGAGGGCAGGGCTGAGCCATGATTCTGTGTGTGAATGAACACACAGAGCAGCAGCTCTGGAGCAAGCCTGCTTGGGTGTCCCCATAGCAAGCTGCTTTCTCTATGGGCACTCGGCAGGAGGGAGGGGCCATGAGCAATGTCAGGGGGCCCCCTAGCATTTTTAGCCTCAACCATCTTAAATAAGTGCATAAGATATAACGGAATATGCCAAAAGGATATAAAGGCCGCAAAAATTGAAAACGAACGACAGATTGCAAAACATAGCAGGACAAACCCCAAAAAAGTCTTCAAATATATTAATAGTAAAAATGTCAGGTCTGAGCATGTAGGCCCTTTACAAAATAATCTAGAATGGGTGACTGGGGACAAAGAGAAGGCAAATTTATTAAATATCTTCTTTAACTCTGTGTATACAAAGGATCATGGAGGAGCTCTTGCCCATAATGGGCATGGTATTGACACAGCTCCAGAAGATCCCCATTGGCTCACAATGATATGATTCACAAATATTTAGACAGAATAAAGGTGAATAAAGCACCTGGACTGGATGGCATACACCCACGTGTCCTTAAAGAATTTCTGTCATTTCAAAGCCATAGTTTCTTATTTTTAGGGACTCTTTAATGACTGGCATAGTACCACTGGATTAGCGTAAGGCCAATGTGGTGCCTATATTTAAAAAGGGGTCAGAATCTTTACCAAATAATTATAGACCTGTTAGTTTAACTTCCATAGCTGGGAAGATACTGGAGAGTTTAATAAAAGAACACATAGATGAATTCTTGCTGGAAAAAAATATTTTAAGCAACAGACAGCATACGTTCATGAAAGACAGAAGTTGTCAAACAAATCTGTTTTCTTTTTATGAGGAGGTGAGCAAAACCTTGGAAAGAGGGGTGGCGGTGGACGTGGTATACTTGGAAGCGTTTGACACAGTTCCCCACACACGGCTAATGTGTAAGGTAAAGTCTACAGGCTTGGAAAAATCCATATGTAAATGGATAGAAAACTGGCTAAAAGATCGTATTCAGAAAGCAGTGGTTAAGGATTCATACTCTGAATGGTCTAGGGTTGTCAGTGATGTACCCAAGGTTCAGTGTTGGGACCCTTACTTATTAATATATTTAGTAATGATATAGGGTCTGGGATTAAAAATCTCATTTCAGTCTTTGCAGATGACGTCAAGCTGTGCAGTTTAATAACATCCTTACAGGATGTCTCCAACTTACAAGCCGACCTCAATGCACTGTTTAACTGGCAACTATGTGGCAAATGAGGTTTAATGTTGATAAATGTAAGGTTATGCACTTGGGGGCTAAGAATATGCATGCATCATACATACTAGGGGGAGTACAACTGGGGGAATCAATCGTGGAGAAGGATCTGGGGGTTCTGGTAGATCACAAGCTTAGTAATGGCATGCAATGCCAAGCTGCGGTTTCTAAAGCGAGCAAAATCCTCTCTTGTATTAAAAGGTATAGACTCCAGAGAGAGAGATATAATTTTACCCCTGTACAAATCATTAGTAATACCTCATCTAGAATATGCAGTTCAATTTTGAGCACCAATTCACAAAAAGAACATTGGGGAACTGGAGAAAGTACAGAGGAGGGCAACCAAACTTATAAGAGGCATAGAGGAGCTCAGCTATGAGGAAAGATTAGAGGAACTGAATTTATTCTCTCTTGAAAAGAGGAGATTAACGCGGGATAAGATCAACATGTATAAATACATCAGTGGTTCTGTCAGTACCTGTGGTATTGAGCTCTTGTTGATACCCAACTTAGGGTTCCCCAGGGTGCGGAGTTTAAGCCCCAGCCTGCTTCTTCACCAGAGCCCCTGATGGTGGGGAAGGACTTGCAGCAAGCTGGGACCAGGTTGCAGCCCCCAGGTACGCCCAGCTGAGGTGGAGGAGACCGTTCGTGGGAGCAGAGTATAATGGGAGGAAAAAAACGGAATCTGATAGGCTAGGTCAGGACAGGCAGAGAACAAGCAATGTCAGAGAATGAAGCCGGGGTCGGTACACAAGTAGACAATGTAGGATTCAGACAGTAGTAACACACAGGAGCTCCGACAACTAGGAAGTTGCTCAGGCAAAGGGGGCTAGACTGAGCATGTCTTATATAGACAAGCAAACTAGGAGTCGGGCCAGGAAGTGATGGAAGGGAAGGAAATAAAACCCAGAGGATAGCAGATGACGCCCATAGGTGAGCACAGACAAACCACACATATGAAAGGAATCAGGAGCAGCAAGGAGGTAAGAATAAACAAACAAGAGGCTAACTTGTGACAGGTTCATAAACTGATTTTGGTGTAGAGCTATTCACCCTGAGGTTATCACAGAGGACAAGGGGGCACTCTTTATGTCTGGAGGAAAAGAAATTTAATCTCCAAATACAGAAAGGTTTATTCACAGTAAGGGCTGAGAGAATGTGGAATAAACTCCCTCAAGAGTTAGTTCTGGCCAGCTCAGTAGCTTGCTTTAAAAAAAGGTCTGGATTCTTTCTTGGATACACAGAATATAACTGCTTACTAACATTTATAGGTAAAGTTGATCCAGGGAATATCTGATTGCCTCTCAGGAGATCAGGAAGGAATTTTCCCCCGCAGGAGCAAATTGAGTTATGCTTTGCTGGGTTTTGTGCCTTCCTCTGGATCAACTGTGGGTTTAGGATTATGAATTTTTTTTTATGGTTCAACTCAATGGACTTTTTTCTTTTTTCAGCCAGACTAACTATGTAATTATGTAAGATTCATGGAGTATTTAGTTCCTAAAATCTATCTCCACTTAGCTCAGGCATGCAGGCAGCAGGGTGTGCTTAGCTGAGAAAACACCTCCTCCTCTCCTCCAGATGACACTAAAAAAATATCTTTGAGGACTCCTGGGATGTATCAAATCATGTTGGCCTAGCCCAGAAACCAGGAAGCAACTGAAGAAATGTAAAATATAAAGTTTAAAACAAGTAAATATAATATGCCTTCCTATCTATTTACTAAGGCTAGTAGCATAAGGAAAGTAGTTCATGTTGATTGAGAGTTTATTTCCACTTTAAAGTAGAAGCAAACACTAAATAATGGAATTTGCTAATGCAATGTGTTTCATAAACAATTACTCGATTTTTTATATAGAATACTTGCTTTCACGTTTTTCACACTTTTTGGATCTCATTACTCCTTATCTCCTGTAGCATCTTTCCAGCCACTTCTTGTCGGCATGCACTCACTTCAGTGATGTTTGCATAGCATTTCTTAGGTTGGGTTCCTGATGGGAACCATAGTGGACAATGCCTGTGTAGTGTGTGCTGTACTAGTTGTCTCCATCAGAAGCTCATGTGACAGGGTGACAATGCAGATGCAAAATTAAGAGACAAGGATAGAGTGTTGTCAACTTATAGCATAAAGTGACTGAACAAGAACCTTCATGGCAGGATCACCAGGTATTATTTTAACTTGTTTCTGCCCTGCCTATTGTACAATGATAGCTGAGCAGGACCACTCTCATTCTGGGAGGACATCATATGATGTCCTCCCATTCTTGCCTCGCATGCAAGTCCCTGGGGTCACACAGCGCATCACGATCAGGGTAAAGAACCAATGATGTCCAGTCACAGCTAATCACATGTAAACAAATGCCATTTATCAGCATTTTCTTTCCAAAGACAGTCTGAGGAAAGGAAAACCGATAACTGACTTTCTTGTGACAGGGGATATTTACACTGATAATCAGGGCATTGATTATCAGATAAGTCATTAATTGCAGCGCCTCTTACGTTGTGTCTCTTGTGTCCATGCGGCTTACTTTATGTAGGCCACACCTCTCGTGCCATAAGGGTCAGGATAAGTGAACATAAAAGTAGCATCAGTTGTGGCAAAGACATATACAGTGTTCCTAGTCACTTTTTCCAAGTACACAATGTTAGCATAAAAGGCCTTAGAGTGTTTGGTATGGAGGGCATGGATAAAGATCTAGACAATGGCAAGAAGTATCAGAATCTTTGTATGAGAGAAGCAAACTGGATCTTTACATTAGGGTCTTTGTCCCCAGAAGGATTAAATGAAGAAATCAAAATACATTCCATAGTACATCGGTAATTGGGACCAACCTTCAAATAAAAAATATGCACATCTAATCTTCTTCCTATGAGCTTCCATATTTCTCTCCATGAACCTCCCTATTTCCTATTTGCTTTCTCTTTGTAGGTTCAAGTTTTTCCTTCTTTCACAGCGACTCCTTCTTAAGGAAAGTGTTGTCTTCCAGCAAGTAGCTTGCCATCATATCCCATATATACAGTGTACACACGTCTACATTATTTTGTATATGATCTCAGTCTTTATTAGTGATCTCCCCATTGAGGACTTTTTGTTTTTCCAGTATGTATTCCACCATAACTAGTGCACCTATTAGGTATTGGATATGTATTCATAGAGAGAGATCTCCTTGTGCTAATATGCATGCCCATTATTGTGTATGCACATACATACATGTATGAATTTTTTTCCCTCTCCTTTGCTTTTTCCTTTTTTTAATATAGAATCCCATATCTGTTATTCCTATATATATATATATATATATATATATATATCATGCTATACTATGAAGTTTTGTGTAGGGTACATATATATTGTTCTTTGCAATAATATTTATGCATTTTAAGCATAGTGAGACAGATTTTTCTTTTTATATATGTATATATATATTTATATTTATTATTAATTTCATTTTTTTTAAATACATTTTTATCCTTCAATTATATTTATTCTCAGTGGGTACACGTGAATGCACATACTCTATATTGCCAAAATACCCCTCCAAATCATTAGATTCAGGTCTGCCAATCACCTCCATGGCCACATGTGTATAAAATCAAGCACCTAGACATGAAGACTGCTTCTACAAACATTCATGAAATAATAGGATACTCTCAGGAGCTCAGTGAATTCAAGTGTGGTACCGTGATAGGTTGCCACCTGTACCATAAGTCCATCCGTGAAATTTCCTTGCTACTAAATATTCCACGGTCAACTGTTAGGGGAATTATAACAAAGTTGCAGCAGCTGGGAACAACAGCAACTCAGCCACCAAGTGGTAGGCCTCATAAAATGACAGAGCGGGGTCAGCGCATAGCGAAGCGCACAGATGTCGCCAACTGTCTGCAGAGTCAATAGCTAAAGATCTCCAAACTTCATGTGGCCTTCAGATTAGTACAACAACAGTGCGTAGATAGCTTAATGGAATGGGTTTGTGTGGCCGAGCAGCTACATCTGAGCCTTACATCACCACGTGCAATGCAAAGCATCAAATTCTGTGGTGTAAATCACGCCGCCACTGGACTCTAGAGCAGTGGAGACGTGTTTTTTGAAGTGACAAATCATGCTTTTCAGTCTGGAAATACGATGGATGTCTGGGTTTTGTTTTTTCCAGGAGAATGGTACTTGCCTTTCTGCATTGTGCCAAGTGTAAAGTTTGGTGGAGGGGTTGTTTTTCAGGGGTTGGGATTGGCCCCTTAGTTCCAGAGAAGGGAACTCTTACGGAGTCAGCATACCAAGACATTTTGGACAATTTCATGCTTCCAACTTTGCGGGAACAGTTTGGGGGTAGCCCCTTCCTGTTCCAACATGACTGTGCTCTAGTACACAAAGCAAGGTCCATAAAGACATGGATGATCAAGTTTTGGGTGGAGGAACTTGACTGGCCTGCACAGAGTCCTGACCTCAACCCGATAGAACACCTTTGGGATGAAATAGAGTGGAGACTGCGAGCTAGACCTTCTCATCCGACATTAGTGCCTGACCTCACAAATGCGCTTCTGGAAGAAAGGTCAAACATTTCCATAGACACACTCCTAAACCTTGTGGACAGCCTTCCCAGAAGAGTTGAAGCTGTTATAGCTGCAAAGGGTGGGCCAACTCAATATTGAACCCTACGGACTAAGACTGAGATGCCATTAAAGTTCATGTGCGTGTAAAGGCAGGCGTCTCAATACCTTTGGCAATATAGTGTATGTTGTTCACTACTATATTTTATATATATATACACACACACATGTGGACCCCTATACACATATTTTTTTTCGTTTTGATTTTTTTTTGGAGGCCAATAGCAGGAACTAGAGGCTCCCAGCGTGTAGCCTGATGGTGTCTGTGCATCTCCCAGCCCTCTTCCGGTGACGTCACATCCACTTGCATTCCACGCTGGTTCAGCATGGACTTCCTGGATAGAGCAAGGCGCTTCTGCCTCTCCTACACCAGATACATCCAGGTCTCTTCCAGCAGTCCCTGCTGGAGGTAAACGAGTGGCTCAGGATTCTATACACAGATGAGCCTTTATATATTAATATCTTGTAAATGTTTTTAACACTGTGTGAATTAATACTCTCATAATAATACATTGAGGTGGCGCCTCCTCTATCTTTTTCCTGTTGGTAAATTTAGTGTGGCTTGCTCTGTAGCCAGGGGAGCTATGATCTGCTATTTTGGTCTGTTATGGCTCTACAGTCTGGACATTGATTGATTGCCCCTGAGCCTGTTGATCACTTTCCAGAGCTTATGGCAGGGACATTCAAATGCCCAGGCTGGGCTCTCACTTTCACAATCAAGGGTCGGGCTCGAAGGCCAGTAGCTATGACAGTAGAGAGACCATCAAGAAAAGTACACAGGCAGGTCACCTTGGCAGCTGCATGTTAGTATCAGGCTGCGGTCCTCAGGGTCACCCCCCCCCAGGAGGTGAGCAAGCCAGGGTCCAGTATTGAGGTAAGCAGGTAAGGTAAACAAGCCAAAAGGCAGTAACAAGTAGTCGCAGGTTGGGATAAGGCAGAAGCGAAGTTGAGGAACAAGCCAAAGGTCGATAGCAAAATATGGATGGCAGCAAAGAAGACAAGAGCAAGATACTGGCTGAAGAGAGCAGAATAATCCGGCAAACAGGAAGTACAGAGACATGCCTTAAATTGGGAAGTTCATAGAAGGAGTAAAGAGTTCAGGACAAACAAGGTTATGACGAGATAATTCAAGTAATTGTCCAGGGAGTTGTCCAGCATTCCAGGTGGCCCAGCAAGAAGAGACATTGCAGACACGGTAGAGGACCCAGACTCTGACACTTACCTTGCCCAACCAACACAGGTGTGCTCAGGTGGTGGGTGGGAGACAGGTAAATTGCTGGGAGCCCAGAGACATCTCTTTTTCCCCTGGAGAAAGGGGGACTATGTGCATTGGAGACTTGCAAGCTCCTTGTCTACAGCTGGGAGTGAAACAATTAGGTTGATTTACTAAAACCGAGCAGTGCAAAATCTGGTGCAGCTCCTAATAGAAACCAATCAGCTTCCTGTCTTTTTTTTTGTCAAAGCCTAATTGAACAACCTGATTAGCTGCCATGCACAACTGCACTCTCACTTTAATAAATCAACCCCAGTGTGTTACTACTGCCTAGTGGTGAGGTGCCTCTGCTAATTCTGTCTAATAGTTTCCTGGTCCACAGCTGGGAATGATAAACTGTGGTGCTATCACTGAAAGTATCCTCTTCAAAATGTGTGCTTTGATGTTTTGGAGTCTCTCATACCCCTTTGTCCCCCCAACTACATGTTTTCAGCAATACATTAAAAAAAGACGTACCCTAGACTGATTATTGAGCCAAAGTGAATGAATATTTGCTGTGTGCCTGGCTGCCTCTGTACTAATTTGGGAGAAGAACCTGTGGAGGTGAGTGCTACATAAGGTTCAGTAAGCTGAAAAAAAAAAAAATATATATTTTTTTATAAATTGGACATGCTTTAAGATGCTGCTTATCCCTAAGTGAGAGCTGCTGTGCAGGAGACTGCAGAACACTATGTCTGTGCTATGTAATATTTTATTTGTATAAATACAATCCTTAATTACAGTATGTTGTTGGTGTTTCTTATATATCTGTCTTCGTTAAGGTTCTGTGTCACATATTTTAGATGTTCTATAATATTATTCCTATATTTTTGACCCTTGTATGTGAAATTACTTTGAAACAGCTGATCGGATGGTGTTACTAATTCCCATAATATAATCCAATGTTGCATTGCTATTGATTGGTTGCTTAGACTCTAAAATATGGTAAACAGCTAATCACAAAACAGATTTGGGCATTTATACTGTCTGCCCTTGTAAGACAAACATTGATATTTGTATTTTTTCTCTATTCTAAATTACTCTTGGATTTACACAATCCACATATTTCAAGGGCATAAATCTGAGCCAACACATTGCCCTCCAGATTCCCACAATTCTTTCTCTATCAATAAATCTGTATTTGCTGAAACAAACTGCAAAGCTGACATAATAAAAAAACAGGGATAAAATGCCAGCTAAGGACAGCTGCAGTATATTCATTTACTACACTAGGTGGCGCAATGGAATTAAATTGTCTTCAGCCAGCAAGTAAATCTTACAATGAACATTCTTACTTGGAAAACTTCACTGAAATCATAATTAAATACAACCCTAACACATTCATACATGCATATTATTATGGAGCAGGAAAATAATTTACAAATCCCCTAAATAATCAACAATGTATTCAACATAAGTTAGAACACTGGCTCCCAATTTTATATATACACCTCTTTTTAACATCAGATGATTGCAGAGTAACTCTTGTTATTGTGCAAAAAAAAAAAAAAATGTATATTTGGAGAAAGCACATCCCTAATTTATAAAGGCATTGACAGCTACCCTTTGAATTTTAGCTTTTGCTAAATCTGTGTTTTTCTGAGGGACACAAAAAAACAGGTAAGATCAGATAAGTATATGTGACATTGTTATGGTATACAACATACAGTGTAACATATCACTTTTATAGAATAAACTTTGTTGTATGATATTTCCTAATATATTGAAGTCATCATTCAAAATGTTTTCTACTTAAAAAATGAATTTGCCTATATTTTACCTTCCCTGGTTTCATCTTCCCCTGTCATTAAATGCTAATTATTTTTTTTTTCAGTTATTATTATTATTATTATACAGGATTTATATAGTGCCAAAAAGGTTTGCTCAGCGCTGTACATTATAGTGGTGGTCAATAAAGATTTTGTTGAAAAATATGCAGAGGAAGACAGACCGGTACATTTGCATTAACAATTTGGGTATTACACAGAGATAAACAAGTATAGAATTCTTCATGACAGTACATTTTTTCATATATTTGTTCATCATTTACAAATGAAGTCCACAAAGAACCCACTGATACAAGATCAACAATCTGAAACAGTGCTTGCTTAGTAGTCAATCATACATTTAGGTTCTGGGGCAGGTTATATTACAGGAATCAAGTGAACTGCCAACCAAATGAAGAGGTGGCATAAAGACTTCCAAATGAGAGAAGAGAGAAAAAAGGGAAGACCAAAAGAAGAAGGGAAAAAAAAGCTAATTATTATTATTTTTTTTATAAAACATTTTCATTTTCATTATATACCTTATTTTGGACCCAGAGACATCATCACCAGGGCTCTGTGCTTTTCTATGCAATGCAGGCAGATCATGGATGATGAGAGGGATTGGCAGAGTGCTGCACTTGTTTATAAAAGTCATAACACCCTCTCTCAGTACTTCTCCCTGATCCTAGCAGTATGCTGGCTCTTGCCTTAATGAGTGGATTTCAGTTTGAGAGAATGATCATACCTAGGCAGACTGCATTAGCTTGCTGACTGTCTTTGGAAAAGCCGAAATGTGATGTTGACTCTCCATAGCTGAAAAAATTGAAAGCTCAAAAATTAAAGGGGCTGGACAGGGATAGTTAGGTTGGGGAGGAAAAGATTAGATGATGCTACATATCTATTACCAAGAAATGGGGCATGTGCTGAATATCAAAAAACAGTAATGGCCATTTAAAAATTCTGTTTGGTGGGGCTCAATAATATTTAAAAATGCCTAAAGGGCAACAGTAACCGCCTCCCACCCGCCATATAAGGAAATGATGGGCGCAAGGCGGTTCTCTTGTTATAGGAGGACATCATATGACGTCCTCCCACTCCAACCGAGCGTGCGTGCCCCCGGGGGCGCGCAGCGTGACGATCGATGGTGCGCTGTGTCCCTGGGACCCAGCGGATCACCGATCAGCGAATAGAACTGATGACTTTGGCTCTGTCATGTGATCAGCTATGTCCAATCACAGCTGATTGCATGTAAATAAGTAAATGCTGGTTATCGGCATTTCTCTCTTCACGAGCTGTCACGCTGACAGCTCGTGAGGAGAGGAGAGCCGGTAATCGGCATTTCTCAGAGAGGACATCTACACTGATGAACAGCGCCCTGATGATCAGTGTAGCCCCATCAGTGCCACCTGTCAGTGTCCATCAATGCCACCTGTCATTGCCCATCAATGCCACCTATCAGTGCTCATCAGTGCACATCAATGCCACATATCAGTGCCTACCAGTGCACATCAATGCCACATATCAGTGCCTATCTGAGCTACCTTTCAATGCCAACTATCAATGCCAGTCAGTGCCACCTATCAGTGCCAGTCAGTGCCACCTATGAGTGCTGCCAATCAGTGCCACCTATCAGTGCCCATCAGTGCCTCCTATCAGTTCCTGTCAGTGCCACCTAACAGTTCCATTCAGTGCCACCTAACAGTGCCATCCAGTGCCGTCTATCAGTGCCATATATGAGTACTGCCTTTCAGTGCCCATCAGTGATGTCTGTGAATGCCTATCAGTAATGCCTCTCAGTGCCCATCAGTGCCACCTACCAGTGCCTCCTCATCAGTGCCCATCACTGCCGCCTATCAGTGCCCATCACTGCAGCCTCATTAGCGCACATCAGTGAAGGAGACAACTTACTCATTTACAAAAATTTTTTTCTAAATTTTCACTTGTTTTTGCATTGTTTATCAAAAAATAAACAACCCAGTGGTGATTAAATACCACGAAAAGAAAGCTCTATCTGTCTAAAAGAAAAAGATAAAAATTTCATATGGGTACAGTGTTGCATGACCACGCAATAGTCATTCAAAGTGTGACAGCACTGAAAGCTAAAAATTGGCCTGGGCAGGAAGGGGGTGAAAGTGCCCGGTAGGCAAGTGGGTAACATGCAAAGTTCCTTTGAATATCATGTATGTTGGTGCCCTTAACGCCTGTGAAGTAGGGCATCTGTACAATGCATACAACCTAGCGCTGCAAAATTAACATTACAGAGAAAATAAATGCCATTTAACCCACCTAGCCAATAGCAAAATGACGGGTGAGCAGGACTCTCGTCGATCCAGGTGGGCGTCATATGATGTCCTTCCCGGGTCACACCTGACATGTGCCCACGGGAGATCTGTCACCAGCTGTGTACCTTGGACACAGCCGATGACAGATCTGTGTACTGGCCTGTTGCCAGTACCATGTGACCTGCTCTGACCAATCAAAACAATTTTTTTTTCAATTATTATTTTTTTTTTGGTACTGTCACTAGGCAGTGTCCATGATCACCGACACGCCGAAGAGCCGAAATGTGATGTTGACTCTCCATAGCTGAAAAAATTGAAAGCTCAAAAATTAAAGGGGCTGGACAGGGATAGTTAGGTTGGGGAGGAAAAGATTAGATGATGCTACATATCTATTACCAAGAAATGGGGCATGTGCTGAATATCAAAAAACAGTAATGGCCATTTAAAGATTCTGTTTGGTGGGGCTCAATAATATTTAAAAATGCCTAAAGGGCAACAGTAACCGCCTCCCACCCGCCATATAAGGAAATGATGGGCGCAAGGCGGTTCTCTCGTTATAGGAGGACATCATATGACGTCCTCCCACTCCAACCGAGCGTGCGTGCCCCCGGGGGGGGCGCGCAGTGTGACGATCGATGGTGCGCTGTGTCCCTGGGACCCAGCGGATCACCGATCAGCGGATAGAACTGATGACTTTGGCTCTGTCATGTGATCAGCTATGTCCAATCACAGCTGATTGCATGTAAATAAGTAAATGCTGGTTATCGGCATTTCTCTCTTCACGAGCTGTCACGCTGACAGCTCGTGAGGAGAGGAGAGCCGGTAATCGGCATTTCTCAGAGAGGACATCTACACTGATGAACAGCGCCCTGATGATCAGTGTAGCCCCATCAGTGCCACCTGTCAGTGTCCATCAATGCCACCTGTCATTGCCCATCAATGCCACCTATCAGTGCTCATCAGTGCACATCAATGCCACATATCAGTGCCTACCAGTGCACATCAATGCCACATATCAGTGCCTATCTGAGCTACCTTTCAATGCCAACTATCAATGCCAGTCAGTGCCACCTATCAGTGCCAGTCAGTGCCACCTATGAGTGCTGCCAATCAGTGCCACCTATCAGTGCCCATCAGTGCCTCCTATCAGTTCCTGTCAGTGCCACCTAACAGTTCCATTCAGTGCCACCTAACAGTGCCATCCAGTGCCGTCTATCAGTGCCATATATGAGTACTGCCTTTCAGTGCCCATCAGTGATGTCTGTGAATGCCTATCAGTAATGCCTCTCAGTGCCCATCAGTGCCACCTACCAGTGCCTCCTCATCAGTGCCCATCACTGCCGCCTATCAGTGCCCATCAGTGCAGCCTATCAGTGCCCATCACTGCAGCCTCATTAGCGCACATCAGTGAAGGAGACAACTTACTCATTTACAAAAAATTTTTTCTAAATTTTCACTTGTTTTTGCATTGTTTATCAAAAAATAAACAACCCAGTGGTGATTAAATACCACGAAAAGAAAGCTCTATCTGTCTAAAAGAAAAAGATAAAAATTTCATATGGGTACAGTGTTGCATGACCACGCAATAGTCATTCAAAGTGTGACAGCACTGAAAGCTAAAAATTGGCCTGGGCAGGAAGGGGGTGAAAGTGCCCGGTAGGCAAGTGGGTAACATGCAAAGTTCCTTTGAATATCATGTATGTTGGTGCCCTTAACGCCTGTGAAGTAGGGCATCTGTACAATGCATACAACCTAGCGCTGCAAAATTAACATTACAGAGAAAATAAATGCCATTTAACCCACCTAGCCAATAGCAAAATGACGGGTGAGCAGGACTCTCGTCGATCCAGGTGGGCGTCATATGACGTCCTTCCCGGGTCACACCTGACATGTGCCCACGGGAGATCTGTCACCAGCTGTGTACCTTGGACACAGCCGATGACAGATCTGTGTACTGGCCTGTTGCCAGTACCATGTGACCTGCTCTGACCAATCAAAACAATTTTTTTTTCAATTATTATTTTTTTTTGGTACTGTCACTAGGCAGTGTCCATGATCACCGACACACCAGTTATATGATGATGCTGTACTGCACTGGTGACAGTATGTAAAAATAAAATTCCAAAAAATTATGACAAAAAACTTGCCACACCTCTTACCCTAGCTTCATACCTGAGCGTTTTCTGCAGCGATTTTCAGGAACGCAGCTCAGTCCATTTAACATGATTTCCTATGGGACATGTTGACAGCTGCACATTTTCATCAGGTGCGTTTTTTGGAAAGGGTCAGGGACTTTTTTGAAAGCAAAAAGTTGCATTTTTGGTTCTATAGACTTCAATGCAAATGTTGCAGAAAAGCATATAGTGCATTTTTGCTGCGTTTTAAATATGCCTAGCAAGAAGAAAAAAACACAATCCAGAAACGGCTCAAACGCAACCTGCATAGGTGTGAACCTAGCCTTACGGAACACTTTGAACTGTCTACTTTGCAAAAAAGGGTCATTTGGGGGATATCTGTACTGTTCTGACATTTTTGGGCCTCAAGAAATTAGAATGGCCGTCAGTACTTCAGGATTGATCGATTTTCAGATATACACCATAAACTGTAGACTCTATAACTTTCCTACAGACTGAATAATAAAAACTGATTTGGGTAATTTTCACCAAAAAAATGTAGCAGAATACATCTTTGCCTAAATTTATGAAGAACAATTATTTATTTGAAAAATGTTATTACAGAAACGAAGAAAAACTTTTTTTTTTCAAAAATGTCAGTCTTTTTTTTCCTTAATTTAGGAAAAAGTAAAAAAAAAAAAAACAGTGGTGATTAAATACCACCTAAGTAAAGCTCTAGCTGTGTGAACAAAATGATAAAAATTTAGAGTACAGAATTGCATGACCACGCAACCATTATTCAAAATGTGAGAACACTGAGAGCTGAAACTTGGCCTGTGCAGGAAGGGGATAAACTTGCCCGGTATTAAAGTGGTTAAGTTACAAATAAATTTACAGCTTCTGGCTGCTTCATTTTGTTTGTAAATAAAGAGGCTGATGATTCCCTTCATCTCTAGTAGACCCTTATCCTAGATGAGGGTCTGGTATAGATGTAAACCACTTGCCCTCCTGAGGATTTACCTCCCTTCCTGACCAGGCTATTTTTTGCGTTACGGAGCTGCATTACTTTAACTGAAGATCGCGCAGTCATGCAACGCTGCACCCAAATTAAATTTGTGTCCTTTTTTCCCCAGGAATTGAGCTTTATTTTGGTGGTATTTGATTGCATGTGCGTTTTTTTTTTTGCGCTATAAAAAAGACTGACAATTTTGAGAAAAAAAAACTGTATTTTTAACTTTTTGCTATTAAACATGTCCAGTAAAAAAAATGTAAAAATCATATTTTGTCATAAATTTAGACCAAAATGTATCCTGCTATATGTCTTAGCTAAAAAAAATCCCAATACATGTAAATTAAATAGCGGTATAGATACTTGAATTTTTTTTTTATAACTAGTAATGGCGGCAATCAGCGACTTATAGCGGGACTGCGGGACTGTGGCAGACATTCTGACACTGGGGGGAACTGACTTGGTGTCACTGAAATCCCCAGTGACACCAATACAGTGATTAGTGCTGAAAAAAAAGCACTGACGCTGTACTAATGGCACTGGGCAGGAAGAGGTTAACATGAGGGGCCAACCACAGCACTGTGCCCAAGCTAACAGGGAGGAGAACTGTTAGCAAGCAAAACAGATCTGCTCCCCATTAGAGATGCTCAGTAATCACCGGGCACTGGTGGGTAATCACTGGATGGGACCCGGTGATTGACTACCATGGCTGAGAATGGCGGCGGGGTAGGGAGCGCGCGGCCCGCGCGTGTCCCTTACACAGAAATGCAAAAATCATGTATATATACGTGATTTTGCGCACCCCTGCCGCTCTGTAGCAGTATATCTGCTATAGGACAGTGGGGAAGGGCTTAACAGGCACTTCACACATGCACAGAAAAAATAAATGAATGTGGTTCCTCTGAGAATTACATACCAGAGCCTAATTCTTGATAAAAGTCAGGTATGGGTTTCAAAGGAGGCAAAAAAGTGGGATCCCTCAATAATCTTTTCCAGACCTGTATGTGAACATTTCAGGGAGAGCATGTACCCCCCCTGAACCATACCAGACTATATGCCTCGGGGGTAACCTTGCCAAGGAGGACCCCCTGGTAAAACATCTTGTCCCCATGTCAAACAAGGGCCTTTCCACACAACCCTGGGCCAGTGGTTGTAGGGGTCTGCTGATGGGGGCTTATCAAAATCTGGAAGTCCCCTTTAAA